TGATCCAACATATGAGTTTGACCATAAGAGGGAGTGTTGGAGTCTCACACTGATTAGGCACGCTCAAGCCTCCTCTAATTCAACAAAGCTTTATCGGGTCGAAGTGTGTCGAACACCTCGGTTAACAAATAAAATAAAAAATAAACATTTAAACTCACAATAATATTATTTATTTATTTGAAAATTTTATGTATTTTCTTTTGTCCCTTACACAGTAATTGTTCTATTATTACATCACCCTCCACGCTTTGGCCTCGAGGTTTGCATCAAAAGCTACAATATTAATGTCAAAATCCAAAGCATACCTAATTATAATTAAACTATATTCTAATTAATAAATATATTATCATTAGTCAGCAAGCTGATCGTCACTTTGGTTTTATCGTCATCCTCTTCTCGCCGGAGCCTGAAACCCGATCGGAACTTCACAGAAACCAGCCGGCGGCGTCGTGACTGCTGCTGCTCGATACTTGAAAGGCGGTTGTGAGGTTAACTTAGGGAGAGCTGAGCTAGCTTTTATGGCTAGCGAACACAAGTCCTGGAGAGTTAGCGGTTCCTGAGATTTGGAGAGTGGCAGTAGGAAGTAAATTTGACCCGGTTGAAGTTGTTCTTCTCCGGCGAGATGGGGGACTTGGGAGCCGACGAACATGGACTCGGAGCTGCAGAGATAGCAGTTGGGGTTCTGGGAGAGGATGTGTGCGGCTTTGATGGGCTCTCGGAACTCCTGTAGTCGTCCATCCATGTGAATGATCTTGGCCGTGAGTGGCCTCCTGAAGTTGTTGCAGCCACCATTTTGTTTTGTGTATTGAACCGATATTGCGCAATTTCCCATTGATTGATATTCTGTAAAACTGAACTGAGTTGAGTTGAGCTGGGGAAGAAAGTAGAGAGAATTGAAGTATATATTATGAAGATCATGTGATCTGTAAGAGGGGTTACGTATATTATGAAGGTAGCGAGGAAGCAACGAGGTCAATAAAGGGAAATTGACGAATTTCAGGGGGCGGGGGTTAGGGGTTGTTTCGATTATTAGATATGATTCACATTTGTGACGGGAAGACTTGCTTTTAAAAACTTCTTTTTCCTCTTTTGACCTTTTTCTTTTTCATTGGCTGTCTAATCCCTTTCATTAATCCTTTAATGATACTTTATCACCGGTAGACTTTTAAAATATTATTTTATTATCTAAATTTATATTTCAATGATAAATAAAGAGCAAACTCGATCCAAACTGTTGAAGCTTTTGAAGAGGAGAGGTCGATGAGTCTTTTAGTGGTGAAAGGTTAAATTTTGGTAGTTAGGATTGATCAAAATTTGGCTTGGTAAGAGTGACTATGCAAACTCTAATAACTTGATTATCAGTGATTGGCGTGGTCGACGGGAGTAGGGTTTGAAAGATTTTAGAGAGTGATGATCGAAGAAGAGAATGATGGTAGTTTAGGGTCGCAAAGATGTCGGAATTGGGGATGAGAATAGTGGTAGTTTGGTATATTTTGAAGAGAATCGGGGAAGATTTAGATATGTTTCACATTTGTGTGAGGGGAAGACTTAGCTTTCAAAATCTTCTTTTTCCTCTTTTGACCTTTCTCCTTTTCATTGGGAATCTTATCCCTTTCGTTAATTCCTTTAATGAGTCCTCTTTATTTTATCAATAAAGATTTATTTATAATTCAATCTTACAAACTCTCTCATAATCCTGATTGATCAGTTTACAATTAGTCAAATAGGATCGATAATTGGGTAAGCGGGACACATTACGAGCTGTCACATATGTGTTATGAGAGAAAGTTTGTGAGATTAGATTATAAGTGTAGTATTACCCTGATTTAATATAACAATAAAGATTGACCCACAACCCAATCTTATAAATTTTCTTTCACAACCTCGATGTGGCAGTTCGTAATTGGACAGATATGACCCATTACAAGTTGACCCATTGCAAACTTCCACGTCAAGATTGTAAGCAAAAGTTTGTGAGATTGAATTGTAAATAGTAATGTCATTTATATAATTACTTAGCTACATGAATGAGGATGTTTTAATTATTATTTTTTTTCACATATTTATAAGTATTATCTGATATAAATATTTTGAAGTTTGAAATTTTTAAAAATCAAAGGATAGGAAGGTATGATAATTTGATTGGATTAATTGACACTTTTCGATTAAATTAGAATAATAATGCTTATATTGGATTCTCTACTACCAATTTTTGAATTTTGATGCATGAAATTGCCATAGTCCCAAATTTTAATTACATTAATTAATTCCCAATATTTTTCNGTAAGCGGTTCCTGAGATTTGGAGAGTGGCAGGAGGAAGTAAATTTGACCCGGTTGAAGTTGTTCTTCTCCGGCGAGATGGGGGACTTGGGAGCCGACGAACATGGACTCGGAGCTGCAGAGATAGTAGTTGGGGTTCTGAGAGAGGATGTGTGCGGCTTTGATGGGCTCTCGGAACTCCTGTAGCCGTCCATCCATGTGAATGATCTTGGCCGTGAGTGGCCTCCTGAAGTTGTTGCAGCCACCATTTTGTTTTGTGTATTGAACCGATATTGCGCAATTTCCCATTGATTGATATTCTGTAAAACTGAACTGAGTTGAGTTGAGCTGGGGAAGAAAGTAGAGAGAATTGAAGTATATATTATGAAGATCATGTGATCTGTAAGAGGGGTTACGTATATTATGAAGGTAGCGAGGAAGCAACGAGGTCAATAAAGGGTAATTGACGAATTTCAGGGGGCGGGGGTTAGGGGTTGTTTCGATTATTAGATATGATTCACATTTGTGACGGGAAGACTTGCTTTTAAAAACTTCTTTTTCCTCTTTTGACCTTTTTCTTTTTCATTGGCTGTCTAATCCCTTTCATTAATCCTTTAATGATACTTTATCACCGGTAGACTTTTAAAATATTATTTTATTATCTAAATTTATATTTCAATGATAAATAAAGAGCAAACTCGATCCAAACTGTTGAAGCTTTTGAAGAGGAGAGGTCGATGAGTCTTTTAGTGGTGAAAGGTTAAATTTTGGTAGTTAGGATTGATCAAAATTTGGCTTGGTAAGAGTGACTATGCAAACTCTAATAACTTGATTATCAGTGATTGGCGTGGTCGACGGGAGTAGGGTTTGAAAGATTTTAGAGAGTGATGATCGAAGAAGAGAATGATGGTAGTTTAGGGTCGCAAAGATGTCGGAATTGGGGATGAGAATAGTGGTAGTTTGGTATATTTTGAAGAGAATCGGGGAAGATTTAGATATGTTTCACATTTGTGTGAGGGGAAGACTTAGCTTTCAAAATCTTCTTTTTCCTCTTTTGACCTTTCTCCTTTTCATTGGGAATCTTATCCCTTTCGTTAATTCCTTTAATGAGTCCTCTTTATTTTATCAATAAAGATTTATTTATAATTCAATCTTACAAACTCTCTCATAATCCTGATTGATCAGTTTACAATTAGTCAAATAGGATCGATAATTGGGTAAGCGGGACACATTACGAGCTGTCACATATGTGTTATGAGAGAAAGTTTGTGAGATTAGATTATAAGTGTAGTATTACCCTGATTTAATATAACAATAAAGATTGACCCACAACCCAATCTTATAAATTTTCTTTCACAACCTCGATGTGGCAGTTCGTAATTGGACAGATATGACCCATTACAAGTTGACCCATTGCAAACTTCCACGTCAAGATTGTAAGCAAAAGTTTGTGAGATTGAATTGTAAATAGTAATGTCATTTATATAATTACTTAGCTACATGAATGAGGATGTTTTAATTATTATTATTTTTTCACATATTTATAGTTACTATCTGATATAAATATTTTGAAGTTTGAAATTTTTAAAAATCAAAGGATAGGAAGGTATGATAATTTGATTGGATTAATTGACACTTTTCGATTAAATTAGAATAATAATGCTTATATTGGATTCTCTACTACCAATTTTTGAATTTTGATGCATGAAATTGCATAGTCCCAAATTTTAATTACATTAATTAATTCCCAATATTTTTCAAGCTGAATGGGAAAAAATTAAATTCCCTTTCAGTTAATTAAGTTTTTAAATTGTAAAACCCGTGTGTTTGACCTTTTGTAGTGAGCATCCGTTAGTTTCAGAAATACGAGTCTAACCCTTGAGGGTTTTTTTTTTTTTTTTTTTTGTGTGTGTGTGTGTGTGTGTCTAGTGAGTACACATTAGGAGTGAAATCGAGTCGACTATCTGACTAATCGAGTCAAATCTGACTATTCGAACTCAACTCAATTGCTATAGTACTGAATTTGAGTTCGAATTCAAGTTTGATAGAGCTTGAAGAATCGAGTTCAAACTTGAAATCGATACCTGAAATTAGAATTCGAGTTCGAATTCAAGGTTTAATCGAGCTTAATCAAGCTTTTTTGAGTCAAATTGTACCGTGATCAAACTCGACTCGAATCAGTATTCGAGCTATTCGAGTCAAGCCCGAGCCAATGCCTACCCCTGTTACCCGGTGGTTTTGGAAATGTTACAGTAAAACCAACGGATGCTCAGGCCGGACATAAAGGTTAAGATTGTATTTCTGAAATCAAATGGATGTTCACTACCAAAAAGATAAAAAAAAAATGCCAAATTTTACTATAAAAAAACTCAGAAATTAGTTACAGTTGGTATTTACTTATTTAATTACCAACTGTAACTTTCTCTGTAGATGTCACCTCAAATGGAATTTAATTACTTTTGTCTTTCTTCTTGGATTAAGTAGTAACCAAGAACAAACTGATCAGCTTCTTCCTCAAACATGCTCTCTTTTAATTTGATTTCTTCACATGATCATCGTCGATCTACACTTTCCCTATACATCAGGGCAAAAATTTCAGTGGAACATGAGTGTTTGGCTTAAAGGAAAATCATAGAGAAAATGAAAGAAAAAATCTCTAGTATTCATTCAATTTGCAGACAGTTAAAATATATATAACCTTCAAATTTTGAAGTTACTTACAAGGATAATATATGGCCATCAACTCCGATGATCATCTCCTTTTTCCTCTATAATAACGCTCAACTTTGTAGCAAAATGACCTCTTCCACGACCACGACCACGACCAAGACTACCGCCGCCTTGGCGTCTCTGCCTCACCATGGATCCTCGACCAACACCGCGGACAGCACCCCTGCTGCCACGTCCAACTCCACTGCCAACGACAACCTTCGGACTACCTGGATCCAAAGCCCTAGGGCCCGTAGTATACATTAAAACATCATCTGTTTTCACCCCACACGACCCGCAACACTTCCGGTCGCCATGGCCCCCACCACCGCCCTTCCTCTTCTTCAAAGCCAAGCTCGCTTTCACGACCAAAGACGCCATCTTCTCGCCTCTGAGCGGACTCTTCAACCAGCTCATCGGCAAGGCAAAGTAAAGCCGACCCGGTTGAAGATCTTCGTCGCCATTAATGGTGGAAATGAAGCTGTCGAAGTCCATATCATCCATGTTGGACAAAAAACAGCTGGGGTTTTTCTCTAAAACCTGTGAAACCTTAACTGGACATGCAAATTCTTGAAGCCTCCCATCTTGAAGGATCACTTTGGCCATGGTGGCTACATTCGTTGCCTCACACGAACTACAAATTCCCATATGTTTCTGAAGATCAGTTTCATGAAAATTAATGGAGGGGAAGAATATGCAAACACGTCTAGATTATATAAAATATATTTTGTTGGTTTATGCCTTGAAGCAAAGTCAATAAAAAAATCTAAGAAATTCGTTCGGTCGACGTTCATTCCACAATTGAATTAATTAATTAATTATTGAAATAATTTGTCCTAATATTTTGGATCCATTTGTCTTGACCAACTTTAATTTGATCCAACTCAAGAAACACGCAATGTTCATAGATTTTTAACTATATTTTGGAGGTTTATGTATGATGTGTGACGTGATTAATTAATGGATTATAGAAAGAGTAGACAACTTTTTTCCACTCTAAAAGTTTCAAAATACCATTTTTCCACCCAAATTTAATATTCCGTTACTATCCAAAGTCAATTCCGACGGCAAAAATTCTCTCCGTCACCACCATTTAAACCTCCGGTCTCTTCTATACAAAACCCCTCTCACTCGGACACCTGATTTCTCGCCGATTGTTAGCTACTGTAAAACTAAGGTTTCATATTCTTAGATGATGATTTTCGATTGATTTTTACGGCGAATATTCAATCGGTCACTACCATTCGATCCATCGGCCCCCACTCTACCAAAACTCTCTTATCCTGACTCCTAGTAACTCGTTGAACGTCGGCTGAGAAAGTGAAGTGTATTTTGGATATTAACAGAATATAAACGTTGGGTGAGAAAGTGTCATTAAGGCAAACCTTGGGTGGAAAAAAGTCGTTTACTTGATTAGAAATAATTTTTTTTAATTAATGTTTTGAATGTTACTCAGTTAATTAATTTAAAAACAAATGTTGGACAGTCCGACATGAAGCCAATTCAGAATGATTTGGAAATTAATTAATTTTGTGATTATGTTGTATAAACTTTCAGAACTATATTTGGAAACAATGTATATATATACAGTCTGTTTGGATTAGATTCTAGTTGGATCATCCTTGAGATCAGGAAGACGAACTAGTCAAAAGAAGATTAAATATAAAGGTTTCTAATCTTCTTTATAAATGTTTAATTATTTAATTTTCTCACGGGTGGATCAAATAAGTCTAAGATTCTTCATTAAAATTATGAAACCTCACATCTGTAACTTCAAGAGAAAAGAGATGCTCATCGCAATGAATAAAAAATATATATTATTTCCCTTCCAAATCAATATATAGCATTCAATTTTTTTTTTAATAACTGAGCTGTTCGAACCCCAGGTAAATCATGGGCAAAGGTACTAATCCTCACCATAGTTTTATAACCCGGATCAGACCGACTAGTCGGGCCAGTTTGACTGGGACCCAACAGCCTCTCCTGTCTGGTCCAGGTTCCAAGGGGTTTCTGCTATATTTCAAATTTATAGGGATTACTTTGTAATTTTCAAGGGGTGTTTTTAAAATATTTCAAAGCTTTAGAGACAACTTGAATTTTTTGGGCATTCTTGAAATAAATTAAAATTTTAGGGACTGATTTGAAAGTTTTTAGGGGTATTTTAAATATACTATAATTCAGGGACTAATTAGCAATTTTTTTAAAATATTTTTGTTGCTGACGTCACTGGTCCAACCGGTTGGACCGGTTGATCTATGACCCTATCACTTTGTTCGGTCTCACAACGAGTCGGGTTTTAAAACAATGATCCTAAGGGGGAGCTATCCCATATTAACCCATCGCCATGACCTATCAGATAAATCATGGACGAAGATATTAGCTTTATACCTAGCAGGAACCGAACCTGGGATTATGAGTTCTACCGATTTGTAACCCTCTTGATTCGTCGTTACTGTTGGACTACCCACTGGTAGGTTATAGCAATCAATTTTGAAGGAAGTGAATCACGAGAGACAATAAGACACTTTGCCTATCCTATTTGATAAAGTTTGAGGTGGGTTTGACTCCTCACCCAATAAAGCCTTGTTGAATGGGAGGATTACCCCCTCTTATAAACCAGTAGGCTTAAGTGTGCTTAGTCAGTGTGGGATTCCAACACTCCCCCTCACGATCAAGCCCATATATATGTTGAGTCATGCCTATTATTGAAGGTAGTTGTCGGCTCTAACTCCTCATTCGCTGGTCAAGCACTCAGCTTAACTGAACCTGGGCTCTGATACCATGATAAAATTTGAGGTGGGCCTGACTCTTCACCCAATAAATACCATGATAAAATTTGAGGTGGGCCTGACTCCTCACTTAATAAGGCCTTATTGAATAGGAGGATTACCCCCTCTTATAAACTAGTAGGCTTGAGCATGCCTAGTCGGTGTAGGACTCCAATACTATTCCTAGTCAAGTAGCTAATTAATCAGCTAATGAAGAGATTTGGGAAATATCTTTCATTGATTGATTAGATATCCATTCTTTGTTTAATTTGTAATTAGTTTATTCTCTTTCACACAGAATTCATTGTATTAAGTTGTTATGTGAATGTTTAAATATATATATATATATATAATTTCATTCCTAAAATTTATTTTAGCTCGGCCCATTTATTTGTTAACTTTTACCTTTGACCCCCATAAATACAACTTTCTGAAATCATGTTTTATATTGTATTATCCCTCTCATAAGTGGAATTAACAGAATCTAGTTTACAAGTGAATATGTATTGATCATTTTCCCAACAATTTTGATTTCTCAGTTTGGTTTCGGTTAACACAATTTAGTGCATCCCATGAGTCTGTTAACACTAAATTATTTTAGAAAAATCAGCAAAAAAGATTATAATATTATATATTTCAACTTCAATTAGAAATGAAATTCGCAAACCATTAGTGCATATTAGAGGTGTTCAAAAGAATCGATTGGAATCAGAACCAGCGGGTACCCTAGGTTTGGTTCCGGTTCCTACCCAGAACCAGTCGTCAATGGGTAGGTTCTAGTTCCAAATTTTTGGAACGTTATTGCGCTGTTCCGCTTCCGGCCGGAACCAGGAACCAGGAACCAAGACTAATATAAAATAAAATTAAAGATTAGGGGGGTTAATAAAAACTTTTATAGAAAACGTAATGTGAATACATTTATATTTATATTTCATAACATTTAAAATAAGTTGGTTTGACTTTTGAGAATCCACCTTTACAAAGTAATGGAGTTTGTAATTTTGAATTTGTAATTTTATTTTTGTTAACAAGTGCCAGGTGGGGGGTATTTGTAAGTTTTTAAGGGTTTTTTTTTCCATTTTAAAAACTTTCAGGGGGTCATGTAATTTTACAGGGTACCCAGAACCGGAACCGGAACTAGAACCATTGTTATAGGTTCTGGTTCTGAGTACCTAGGAACCAGAACCGTCGGTTCCGGTTCTGGTTCCAAATTTCAAGGAACCGTCGGTTCCGGTTCCTTTAAAAAGTGTAGGGTACCCAGAACCGAACATCCTTAGTGCAGATAATGTTTTCTTTTATTATTATTATTATTATTATTATTATTTGGTGATTAAGATAAGTATATACAACCACTTGTCTTGTGGGCGGGTAGTAAGATTTTAGCCATCTGAGTGGGTTATCTAGAGGTCTTGTGTTCAAGTTAGGACTTCGAAGGTTAGTTGAGGTACACGTAAACAGACCCGGATATCCTAGTTAAAATAATAATAATAATAATAAATTAGATAAGGGTAAATAAAAAATTGAGATTAAGAGACTATAGTTGAAAAACCCACCAAAATATGCTAACTTTCATTTCAACCCCTTAAAAGGAACCAAGTTATATTCATAACATAGAGTTGAGATAGAATTTGGAGCAAACAACTTTTTCCCATCCAGATAATGGCTTAATGACACTTTTTCACCAACAGACTTTTAAAATACCATTTTACCACCAAAATATGTATTTCGTTTCCGATTCCGACATCGTTGCGACCCCGCATCATCACCATTCTCTTTCCCGATTATCACTCACCAAAACCCCTCAAACCTTACTCTCGTCGACCCTATCAATCGTCGGCAATCGAGCGATTAGGATTTATGCAACTACCCCTCTTAAGTCAAATTCCGATCAATCTCAACCACCAAAATTCAACGTTCCACTACCAAAAGACTCATCGGCCTCCCTTCTTCAAAAACCCCAATAGTTTGGACCGAGATTACTCTTTGTTCACCACTGAAATATAAATTTGGATTGTAAAATGACATTTTAAAAATCTGTGAGTAGAAAAGTAGTTAACTTTAGAATTTATTAACATAGGGACAAGGGCACATGGACCTTAAACATTCCCTACAAATTAAGATAAAATGAATAAAGGATCGATCATTATGTCATTGAAATTAACCCTGTTGAATAAGAATAAAGTAGTCAATCTCTGATGACGATCTCTCATACTTATCCAATGATCCAAACATAATCGTTATTGATACCATCTGACATCATACAATTCTCGGAAAAGGATAGCATTACCGACGATCGATCGTCGATCATCATCCTCTCGACATCAAGTTCCCAATAACCCCAGCAATAAGAGTGGTCGGATCTCCGAGCACGGCCGAAATCACAAATTGTACCGCCATACCAGCCATCTCGCAGCATTTCTGCACCTTCCCTTTACTCTTCTTGTGGTGAGCCTGCAGAGTGTTCTTCAAACTCGGAATTCTAGTTTCCAATTTCCTGCTTTTCCCACGTCCAAAATATAACTCATGCCAATTCTCCACCAACATATCTTTCACACACGCCACATGCAAATTATATTTCTTGCAGGCCGACCTGTAACTCCAGCTCCTCCCTTTGCGTCCACATTTGTGACACGAAGAGCTCACCTTCCTGTACAGATACAGCTTCACTTCGCCGTCGTCGAGCACCATTGGAAGCTTCGCGCAGCAGGGATGGAGGTCGAACCCACACGTATTGCAGTGATAGACAAAGCCGGTAACGTCCCTCTCGCAGGCGTTACAGTAGCGGGGTTTGTCCCCCGGCGGCCTCGACAGGAACTGGAAGGAGCATTTGGTGTAAAA